TTTTACTTTTTTGCCCTCTATATTTTCTTTATACTTCTATGTTAATGATCATAAATAATTCTAAACTTAAGGCTCTGCAGCCAATAATAATTATTCAAGATTAGAGAACAGAACTTTTGTTCTACTGAAACCGAACTCTAAACTACATAACAGCTTTAAAGGTTAGCATTTTTTGCGAAATCAGACCTTACCTTACTAACCGAAAGCCCGGCATCGATAGCCATGGATTAACCCTTCGTTTGTACGACATCCATAAAGTGTGGTTATCTGCTTGATTACACCACACAACTATTGTAGTGATTCTGAGAAACTTTTTCTTCGAGTATATTAGAACTCTCAAGCTTTTAGGTGTATGCATAGGCAGTCGTATAAGACCAGGTCCGATGCTCAACGGTATCCTAATTGAGTTTCTACATGCAACGTTTGATTGCATGGTGCAGTAAAGACAACAAAATATGGTAACAAACGATGTCTTTTGACAATCTGTCTATGCATCTACTAAATGAAGTCAAAACAGTGAGAAATGAGTTTTAGGGGAAAATATATCACCTCCAGAAATCATAAATTCTGATTTGTTCGTCACACAAGATGACTTTAGTGCAAAGGTAGGGAAGCATAACAAAGCAGAAAGGTACTTAGGTGGTACTTTCGGAATCTCACTTGAGTGATGCGGTTATCGCAATCACTTGCTAAAACTGAGCTCAGATAATTACCTATTCCTAGTTAGTACAAATAGAAAAAATGAAGAACGACCTTGTACGATTAGAAAACTAAACGAGCTCAGCAGGTTCATAGGAGTTAATACATGCGTTTGAACGCTTCAACGTAGACAGAGATTATAAAGAAGGATGAAGCGAACTTATATGTCTATGCGTTGTGGCAAGCAGGAAAAGCTAGAGGTGGGGAGAGCACGGAATGACAATATGATACAGTTGTGTAAACTTATTACAGAAACCGATGAAACCATCTACGATTAAGGAAATTATAGCGGTGTAGTATCAGACTGCGATCCGATTATGGACAGAAAAACAAAATAAATGAAGAACCTCGCACACAAGTGCATCGGTTTACATCGTCACACTTGACAGCAACATACAAAGAACAGGTCGATCGACAAAACACTGGTATCAAAATAGACAAATGTATGGGAGAAGGAATTTGAATATAAGGTTGGTGAAAATGTTCAAGTGTTAGAAGACGTCAAAGTGTAAATACATCTGTGACCAACTATCAGTCACGTCACCAAGAATTTTAAACGAATGACTTCTATCGTCTCGAGGACCCCAGTCAGGTAGTTTACACTTGCCTACATAGACCAGACTAACAGTCAGAGAACTCATTACCTACACCAGATTCGGGTCTGACCATCCTGAGTCTTCCATCGTAGTTCAACTTGGGCTGGCATTGCACATCGGGGCAGGAGGCGGTTAGAAATGCGCAACATGTGTCCAAGACAACTAAACTGATGAATATTAACAACTTCATTGACTGATTTGCCTTTCTTGCCTAGTAATGTTTGCCTAACCGAAGCATTGGTCACATGGTGATTCCAGCTAACATAAAAAATGCCAGGAAAATAACTGTGTTCGGAAGCCTGTAATCCCTTGATATTTACTTTCAACAATTATGCCTCATAACTATATAATAGAACAGAGGGGCTGCAGCGCAGTATTTTCATTATTACACAGGTCGGATATATCTCGCCAGTCAGTGACAGATGAAACGCCAGCTGGCAAATGCCAAACGAGTCTTCTGTGTGTGGGCTGAAATTTAGTCAGTACCCAGCCCATTGGGCTGATACAACTTCCCAAGTAGGTGGAGTGGTTGATGCATCCTACCGCTTCACTTCATTGGACTGAGAGAGGTTTCAGACCAACTCTGAAGCATCATCTTACATTTGAAAGGTGACAGCTAGACGTATCCCAAACATACCCAGCTTTCTCCCCAAAGCATTCACAGGCCCCAGTATTTTGTAAGGGTCTCCATTTAGCATGACAATGTCGTTTACGTCCTCCAAGTCAACCAGTAGAACAATTCCTGTGAAGCCAGACGTAAATAGGGGTATGTTCGCTAGTACGTCTATAACGAAGTTAAGTAGGAAAGGTGACCGTAGGCGTGCCAGGTGGACACCGCTAGTCGTTGTCAATTCACATGACGACCCTTCATTATCCCTAACACGACTGCGTGAGTACGAGTAGAGGGCCGTGATAAGTATTATATACTTGCTCGGTACTCCCTTCAGATATTGCCACATGTCACGGTCTACAGAGTCAAATGCCGAATTCCGGTAGAGAAATATGGCAAGTGTCGGGCACTAGCCGGTAAGTATGCCTGTGTTCCAGGACAAGTCGAAGGGTGAAAATATGATCGATGCACCCTCATCCAGGCTTGAAACCTGTCTGGTTTTCTTGAGTTTGCTGTTCTCAAGGTCCAGTTAGATGTCGGATAACTATGAACCGAAGGATCTTCAACAGGGTGTTAGTTAAACTGATTCCTCCATAGTTTTCACGAGAAGACTTCTGTCCTTTTTTACACACTGGGTGATCAGTGAAGTGGACCAGTCTGACTGCACTACCTCTAATTCTTATATAATACCTAGTGCCTCCTTTACTCTACTCAGTAATTTTCATCTCCGTCCTTAAAATCGTCATGCGGCAAACCGTCAGGTTCTGCCGCTTTGCATAGTTTACGAACTGAAACTTCTCAAATTCGAAGAGATTTGGGAGACCAACATCTACGTCTCACTTGCAGGAGAATGACAGTAGACCCTGACAAGCTAAAACCAGGATCACTGAAGAATATAACTGGTGCACACAAGTCAAATGTGATAAACGTTGAGGCAGTTGACTTCCAGTCACCTGGTTATGGGTTCAAACGACACTTCCTTGACCAAGGTTCGCGCAACCAGGTAGTATTGACAACCCTTACAACAAGCATGTTTAATTGTCCAGTGTACGAACCTGCTATGAATGAGAACGCAAGTATGGGAAGACTGTTGAATTTGCTTATCAGCAACAGTGGAGAACTGGCGCAAGATGGTTACCACAAGCAAACATCAATGCCAAACCTGGCACAATAGCGTACCGTTTTAAGTTATCATACTTCCCATCAGTATGCAAAGCAATGGATGAAGAAAAAATGGAATAAAAACAGACAAATGTGCATGAGAGAGAAAATAAATAGACAAAAGCCAGGGAAAATAGTTGAAATTTCAAAGATCCGCACAGTACAATAGATTTCAAGCCACATCAGAAACAGTTAGTTCATGACTTTTAGGACGAATATAATACTCCTTATTTACACCAAAAGTATTTAAAGACATCCCAAGACTACTGTAAAATGAAGTGCCAACTGGAATAGCTGATACGGGTTTTATGGACGCCGAAGATGTCACAACACTTCACCTAAGTATGTCCAGGAAACTAAAGCGAAAGTTAGGTCAGTATTTGTTAAGGCGAAGTTCATCAAACAAATGTTCATCACTTACAACTTATTCAAGACCTCAATTTTGACGCTTCTAAAGATTCATGCGAGTTGTATCCTCATATTACTAACACTATCAGAAATCATGGGGTGAACTTTAACCTTGTTGTTTATATTGCGATGTTGATCTGAATTTCCGACATACTAAAAGTAAGCCATCATTAGTTAAGTCTATAAAACTGCTCTTAATAGGTGAAGCAAGTGTCCAAAAAACCAAGGATGTCGTTCATGATGTTTACAACATCCGGACTCTTCGCTCAATAGAAGTGCTCAGCGTATTTCAACCCACCTGAAGAATCTTTGGAGTATTCGTACCTTACATGAACAGGCCATAAACATCTTAGGTGCATTCGACCCTCAACCTGAGAATGATGTACGAAAAATGACCTTTAGGATATGATTTACTTGAGATTAGTCAATCACTTACTGATGATAAGGAAGGTTTGGATCTAGCTGCCTTAGTTTTACAGACTCATTACCAAAACGTGTCTACACACCTGATTAGTTACTTCTACATATAAACCGGAAAAGCATATACAGATGGGCTTAAACGCATTATTTGATTAACGGTAAGAACTTATAAATAAATACCTACAGAAAAACGAATACATTCCTTATACAGTGGCACATTTATCACACTTGCATTTCTGACCTTATGTAAGTTACGCTCAGTCAATTCGATATTTCATGAGTAAGGTAAACAACTATAAATACATAATTACTTACTGTGCCAAACAGCGTTTTCTGATGTTGTTGATAATCACTGCTAATAGGGAAAGGACCAGTCCTGGACCCATATTTTTCAGAGATGAAAACATTAGAGCTCGGTGCTGAAGAAGTAGGACATAAAGACGAATCTAAAACTTCATTTGTATGCATCCCAAAGGTAAATTGGTTCTAGCTGACCAGTCAGAAGGATTATGTGTGTTTACCTCAGAGTAACCAGAGGACTGACGATACAGCTGATTAATTAGTTGGTTTAAGTCAAACACAGATGTCGGAAATTTGGTTAGAGATTTATCATACACTGCAGTTGAACCATTAGTATTCACACTTGGTGGAGGATTGAAGACTGAAGTATATACGTTGGTCATAAACTGACTAGAGTTATGAGGTATTGATTCATCTTTTACCCGGTTACTAATATCAGGTAGGAGTGCAGGGGGAGATGAGTAGAAACTGTCTGAATACATTGCGGTTATGTGATCAGATACCTTTTTAACCTGCATCCAGTTTTCGAAAGAAAGAGAGTTTGTTACTAATTTTCCGGTGGAGTCTGTAGGAGGTAAATTACATGGAAATGCAGATGATTGTAGCGAAGACTCGTTGTTTCCCTGCAAATGGTTATTGTTGTATCCAAAGTTTCCGGGACATGAGTAAGACAATTCTGGATAGCTTGCATTTAGCAAGTCAGTGGTAGATGATAGAAACTGGTTGTCGGTAGAATGATTATAGCCTTTTACAGCTTCCTCAAACCCAGGAGGTGGATAAAGACTAGTAAAATTATTGCAACTCACGTTAGTCGTTTTATTTGCATCATTATGGTTGCTCCTGTCATACATGAAGTTGGGATACCACGAATGTAGTTTTGTGGATTGTACAGAATCGAGGCCCATTGTAGTCTGAGAAAGTCTGACGTCCACGTTTGAGGACTGTGGTTTAACCGGATCTTCATTTGAACAATGAGAAGTTTCAATTGAATTCCCATTAGTGTAACACATACGATGACTAGACAGAGCATCAGATACATCAAGACGTGCCACTTCAGCAGCTAGCAGTTCAGCTAAACCTTGCTGCGATTCTCTAAATGGATCAAAATCAATATCTGCTGGTTCATCTCCTAAGAGTGGTTTAACACTAGATGGATTCACCGAAGTAGGTCGACACCAGGTACGATGGCAGTTATTACTATCCGTGCAAAGAGACTCTGTATGAGTGGATACTTGGTCAGATGGAGCAGATCGAGGCAATGAAATCTGATTTTGTGAAGAATGGTTATGTCGCATGTTAGTACTTTTGACGCCCACAACGTACGACTTGCTTGTATTTACTACTTCAGGTGTATTTTTAAAATGAAAAGTTCCAAATGAATTCTTTCCAAGTTTTCTAGCTGAATAATCTGATGAAGATGAATGATTCCAGCTATTTGACTTGCTGGAAGTACTATAGTTTAGTTTGGACCTATCAGTTAGTGGGGCATCAGAAACCGAGACACTCAGATGACTTTTATCAATATGTCTTAATTTACGAACCTCCCTAGTTGAGGCATTCCTTCCAGAATCAGCTGTGGTCTGGTCTGACGGTGATGAACATTGATCCAAAACCTGGAAATTTGAGTTTTCGACTGACAGCACAGGCGTATCTTCATATCTCCCTCGGCTGCGACCATTTGAATGGCTGCTTGACTCATTGGTATGAGATACAGCAACATCATTTGGACCTGATACTGAGGAATCGAGTGGACCTAAAACAGTTGTTTCTTCCTTTTGCGAATCAAGTACACATGAATTAGACTGGCAAAACTCCTGTAACAATTTGTTCATATATTCAGTATGTTTTCCAGCCTGCATTTCTTCTTTAGTAAAACTAGCGGCAGAATCACCCAATTCGTGCAAGTACATGCATTCCTTAAAACAAACAAGGGAAGTTTACAAAATATTTGGACTAAGTATCAATCTTGCAAATCAGCAACAAAACAAACACCAACCGATAAGAGAAAAGGAAGTCTATCGGTCAACATGTTAGAAACGATTTACAAGATACCTCACAACAACGGTATCAGTAGTTTCATCCTAAGGTGGCTAACATTTTATGAACACATGATAGTAGAATGTGACCATCTTTATCTAGCTTTGTACCAATGCATGGTCAGTTGACAAACAAATAACCTGTTGTATTGCAAGTAATACGAAGAAACTTAACAAGTGAGTAGAAATTTATGCACTAGGCAGTTGCAAATGTTGGTCCTCCAATTCTCCTTGAAGTTAAGAAGTCTGTTTGAAACTTGAAACGATGCAAAGCGGGAGAACCTGAAGGTTTGTCGGCAAAAGGTCTTGAGGATGCGGGTATAAAATTACTTTGTAGAGTGGCAGAAGCACTAGTTAGTGTATGAGAATCAGAGGTAGTCAAGTCAGACCAATTCAGATCGTCATTTACTTCAGTATTCCTTTGAGTATTTTAGTACTCGTTCTTAGTTTGTTTATTAAATGTATCACACAGAAAAACATTGTTGTGCAAACATCTCACTTGTTTTACTGTTTCTGATGAGTATTTAGGCTTCGATACGAAGGGCCAAATCTGGTATCTGCCAACTCACGGTATATCTTTAATGCTGGTGACACAACTGACTACCGATTCAAGGATGAGTATACCATGTTGCAGTCTGTTTTGTCCTACCATACGACGGAGACAGCCTTTGCAAGCAGATATGAATAAATATGTTTTCGACCAGACGTACTTTTGCAGCGTGATTCACATGGTGTAATCACCCTGTAACCTACACCGATGCTAGACGAAGGAAATTAAGTCGTTGAAGCTTAGGTGTGGCTTTCCTCTGTACTGCGTGTGCCCAGTTAAAGCCTACCTCGACATATGATGTTAACCGAAATAATACTGGGTTGAAAGTTTTAGTGACCAGACTAAGATATGGCAACAGTCCTTGAAGCTTTTGATTGTTGATCTGAGTCGTCCAACGAGGTTTAGAACGCTTGACTGGGATCCTCGAGGTGTTAAAAACCAATGACTGAGGGCTTGGTAACATCAGCGAGATCACAATAGTGTAGACATGGTTACTCTTTGAAGTCTAAAGTTTTAACATGACAACTAACCTTCATGTATTTCTTCTCTTCTCATTCCTTTCATACACCTGGTCTACCCTAACATCAATTTATACCCACTTCTTTACAGTTCTGTGAAGTGCGATAACTTGAACTGATGCACTTCTGATGAGATCGAGTCTTTGACTAGGTAATTAAAAACATATTACATAGGCGTTGAGATGGAACCAGACCACTTGAACCACAGTTGATGAAGCGGGGTTTAAACCCGTGATACGATGAAAATGGAATGCCAAAACTGATGAACAACCTTACAAGTAAACTGGCCAATGAAGCTAATAAATACTGTTAGATATCAATTCACACAAACACCAATTCACAGCAAGAAATCAACCTCTCTAGTCACAGAATGGTTATTTAACAGCTGGTACCTCTAGCAAGCACAAGTCCATAGCTGGTATCACAAACACACCCATAAATGCATTCGTCCCAGTAAGCATATATAGTGAATTGAATATTTGATAATAGCTACGATGGCATTTATCGACCTTTCGCGTTGAATAGGAAAACGTAGGTCAACAACATGTGAACTATTGCACTACCATTTTAAGGCTTACTATGTTAAAGGTGAAGCTAACTTAGATCACCACAAGAAAATCCAATGAAGAACTAAGTATAGCTCAAACTTTCTGAATGCAAACTCTAACGACTCTTGATGGGTATTTGGTGACTGCTTGATGCTTGTCATAACACACTAGAATAAAAACCTTTGATGCTGTAAAGCCTTTGACAGCCACCAGAGTTTACTTGGTTTTTACAAGTTCTCATCGATCACATCTAAAGAAATCAAGGTAATTGAATGTCATTAATATAACAACCTAGTATGGATCCATGCATTCAGATATGAACTACACTTACTGCATAGCGGCTCATTTTACTATCCGGTTGCCTAGATTGAAGTAGGAGTGACCTTTGAGACTGGTTTATCGCTTGAAATGAGAACACTTAAGACAAAAATCCACGTCTCCACTAAAAATATGTTTGCCACCAATAAGCATAGAGATCACAAGGTGTGAAATATGACTGCAACAAAGTATGTACGCTGAAAGAGAACCTAACAATTTCACTGACTGTTCAGTGGATGCTGACAACCTACTTCTCTACATAACTAGTCTTTTCACCACAAATGCATGTTCCTTGAACCAGAATTTACCCTCACACTGTAAACGCTGCTACTAGCCTAATTAGTGAGACGTATCATGTGTCCCGAAGTAAATATATTTTCCCAGTCCAAAGCATTCTATCGAAATATGATATTTGTGTGTAGTTTTGTAATCACTGTAGTCACTGACCTTCCAGCATACATGAGCTACAACAACTACATCCATCAGAACAGGTGAACATTCAAGTCAAAAAAAACCAAGTCGCCCAACTAACAGGAGGTATTTCCCCGACATCCCTGTGCAATTTCTTTCGCAATGTCAACAGATTATGTACAGTAGGCGTGGAACTTTTTTATCAACATGTACTGATGACAAAAGCCAGAGGCAGGGTATTAAAAGATGTCCAATAAGCCGAGAAAATAAGTGGCCTTTACATTGAAACGGAAGTATATTGCGAATGTGACTTTGAGTACGATGCTTTGACCATTTTATCAGGATTATAAGGGGACCTAACTAAAGGCGTTGGAAAACGTGTAACTGAAAACAAAACCTCAAAATAGACACGGAAGCGCTCTCTTCGGAGAATGCAAGAAGCAAGACTTACGTGCTTGGTACACTTTGTTCCTCTAAGAAACTGGCTGCAGTATTTTGTAGTTCCAAGGGAAACACGAATTGGCCTTCCATGCAGAGTACTCTGATTAAGATCTCTTATTGAGCGCATAGCATCTTCAGCTCGGTAGTACGTTATATATGCACTGAAACTGGGCTGGCCCTAATAATATGGACATAACAATAAACAATTATTGTAAACAGGTGTTTCTTTATGAGAAGTCAGGCAGAAATACTACTGAAATTTAAACCAACCTGTGGACCACCGAACGTTTGGTTTTGGTTAACCTCAACTTTGAATATTTTCCCATAACGACCAAAGTAATCTTGGCCCTTTAAGATTTCTTTGTCCTTGGAAATCCATGTGGGCAATCCAACTACAAAGATGAGGTTTGGCTGCACGACCCTGGATAATAATCATTTCCACGTGAAAACTGACACTACCTTAGTTCCGGAAGGATTTTCAGCATCTCGGGGTTCAGTTTCGTCTTTTTCATGTAGTCTTTACGTCTCCTGCTTGATCTGCAACGAGATTCTCTAGAAGGGAAATAGACTTAACAAGCAACACTTACTCAGCTTCCGAGATAGGTTTGTAGGAAGCTGGTTTCTCTGAATTATATTCCTAAACTACACTATACATACTGCTATATCCTACCTTCCGACAAGCCGGACATAGTCCATTTTCCTCATTAATAATCTTAGCCCAACAGAACCGGCAAACCTAGTTCATACAGGAAGAGAAATTTTACATTTGCTTACCTGGTACCGACAGTCACAAGGATAAAAGGCAAGGTCGTCTGCTTCCATTGGTTCCATACAAAGCGGGCACTTAATAAATAATGTGTATCTGGAAAAAAGAATACCATTTCTTTCTCGTCCGTACTCATTAGTGGGAAAACACAGTAATTCCTATGATAAGGGCTAAAAGTAGTGCCCGAAAAACACTCATATACAGCGCTCTCAATACTTCAATTGCCAATGTGTTTTAGCAAATCTATGTGCAAAGCGCTACATAAATGGTAGTTAGAACTGCTGTGAGTGTTAAGTCACACCATAAACCCAAAAGACACTCACTCTTTATCATCTCTTGTAACTACTCCACAGAGCATAGAAAACTGATACTTTTCGAACTCTCGTCTCTAGGTCTTGGAGTTTAATTCTTTCTGTACCTTAAGACTTCTTCGATTCCCACAGCTTTTACAGTTTACTTGGGTTTGGCTTTTGGTGGGACCATTGCGTGGCTGAAGGTTTTTTTCAGACTTCAGGCACATTTGTTTGGAGAAGCAGTGGACCTTCTGATTGTATCAATGCACTTTTTTCAAGTACTACAACGTTGCTCGGAAATGGTTGCGAACGTATGAACATGGGTTCACACTTTGATTAAAAAAAGAGACGAATGGTGAAAATTACTCGCCGGGGCAAAAGTATTGCTAAGTATGTTCACTGATGTAAATGTAAGGGTATGGCGACAAAGATATGGATAAGCTTGTTAATTCATTACCAGCCTATGTTATTTGTGAGTCGCAAACTTGCCCAACGCTTGCTTGACAGATTTGTCAGGGGGCAGTATAACCACCTCTTTCAGGACTATTTCCACCACGCATGCACAGAAGTTAAGTCCAACTCATGTCCTCAGTCTCCCGTAGAACTCATAAATAAAATTCTCACGAGACTATCGATTTCGAACCAAAAATATCTCGTTAAGGTGGTTCAGTTAATGTATATTTCTGGGGGCTGTTGTCAAGTAAACTGTTTTTCTTTGACCATCCAAGGCAAATACATCAAGTCATCGTGGCTTTGCGCGCGTCTCTCGACCATTAGTGCGATAAGTGACCTTTCCGCCCTACTCCCTTCGGGTCCCCCCAGCGGATGGGCTTATGGTGTTGAACATCCCTAACAACTGACGCAGAAGAAACTACCCGCAAGTTTTCACTTGTAAACGTATCTGTTTTTCAGGTTAGTTAATTATTAGGCTAGCTATCGCTACTGCTAAAAATATCAAGGAAACTGTAGGTCGAACATCATCATGAGCTAACATCAATTGGAGGAATATTGAAAGCCTAGGAGTACTAGACAGCTGTTTCTTCTCGTCAGTATGGGACTCTTGAGTAGTGCGTACCCATGACGCCACAAAAGACCGAACCCAGGGCCCTCGGGTCACGTGGCTAGCACGTTGACATTGAGTCACCCGGTCGGAATCCAGTGGCCCACACTCCCTACTTCTGTCAGTTCACGATATAGCGTGACCTAAATCCATTGTCGTCGCTGACTAACTCTCCTCATGTTTGACCTGGTTGACTCTGCTGGCCACGTATTAGCACTGGAACTTCGGGAATCACCTCCCTAAGTTAGTCGTCAATGAGCGCTAGATTATTTCAGTCTAGAGGACAACTACTCAACGGCGATATTGGAGTGACAGAAGTAGGGAATGTGGACCACTGGATTCCGACCTAGTGGCGCAACGGTAGCGCGCTGATCGTGGGACCTGATATCCTGGGTTTGATTCCCGACGGGGTTATCGGCAGGCACCTCTGAGAGATCTTATAGCAGGAAGAAGCGGGCTTCTAGCGCTCCGAAGTTCCTAATATTTCTCCAGCTAATGTTAGTCCATGATGAATCCCAAACTAAAATCAGTTAATAAACCTCCACAAACCTCCAGACAGGATGTATCAAGGAAATGCTTGACGGCTTGGTAATGGAGTTGCTACATTCGAAATCAGTTAACGTCAAACTCTGTTTGACCTCACTCTGATTTTTGGAAGATCCAGAGTGGCCCATTTCCAGAATAAGACAATCACGACCTGGACCCTCAAGCAGAAAGTGTAACTCATGCGTCTGTGAAAGTCAATAAAATGGACAGTCGAACGGTTGAAGAACTGGATTCTTCTAAGTGTGTGCTTGCCAAAGTTGTCACGTGCGAAAGAGGAACCGTGAAACTGACTGCTACCAGTAAAATATCTGTTAAGCCCAACCGATCGCCTAACTGTATTTTTTAAAGGAAACAGGCACTGAAAAAATGGAGTCGGGTGCGAGAAGTATGAGAAAAAAATTGAAACTAGTGTGTTCTCGAGACGTTAGGTCTCGGAAAGGAATGTTACTCAAACCCGTCTGGATAAGCCATTGGGGTTAAGGAAGTTATTTGTTCTCGCCAACCCCTAAACCTAACGGAACAAAGTTTACGAGGTGAAGGTCGCAATCGATGAACTTTACCAAGTCATGGTATTTGTCACAGAAATGTAACTGAACCCGATGAAAACTGAAAACTAAGGTCACAGGGATTTCATGTCCATCGTAATGATTGGGTATAGGATGTCGGCAATGAGGTATGGTATTATGCGTCAAAAACATTCTGAACTCCCCTCTACTTCCACGGTGGGACATGGAAATGGGACGCCTGCACTACCCAGTCCGCTTTCCGAAGCTGAGGACTTGAAAACGTAGCAGACCGACACCTGGATGTGAATGGTGACTTCAACGAGCATTCGTAACTTGATTTTTGTCATTTTCCGTGGATTGGTTGGTCCGTGTGCTAGGATTTCAACTTCTGCTCTAAGGTATTAATGCATGTTTGCAACTTGTTAAGCGAAATCAACCAGCTTTTACAGCAAAACAATCCATTGTTTCCGCGTCATTAGATACCCCAAAACCCTACCTTTATAATGGAAAGAACTTAAGCCACACGGTCAAAAACAGACTTGGCGAAGGTTTAAGAAGGATTGTTTTGGGCCCTTCTCCTATGGTAGTGGAGTTGGCTCCTCACCCTACCCTTTTGGTGCTGAAAAGATTAATTACCGTAAACCGATCATCAGCTCCTCTGACACTGTCTACTAAATGGATGCACGGATGGAGTAAAATCAAAACGACAATTCAACATTTAAGCTGTTTTAAGAGACAATGAAGAACAAGGTCTAGCCCAAACCTTCAGATTTATTACCGCCGTAACTAGTTCAACAGCAGTCGCTCAATCGCCTCCATTTAGCTACCGATTCATCCTTTCTGCAGCCAATTATTTTGCCTCGTTTTATTTTTCGACCACTTGCTTTCTTTCAAATATCAATACTTCTCAGGTACTACTATTCGTTTTATTCTACTCGCTTGTCGTTGGCATTTATTCCCGCAATGAACTAATTTTCAACCCTTTCCATTTCTTGTCAGCTAGCTTGAACAACTACACACTGAGGTGATATTCGTTCATCCAGGGAAGGTGGATGAAGTGGGACGAAATATATATCCTTGAGAATGAGCCAGCTCGCATCCGCTGGTGCATCTAACCGGTGCTAAATATACTGTCCCGGAACACATCAAAAAGCTCAGCTGTTTGTGGGAGACAAGAGGCGAGAGCAAGAGCACCAAAAAATTATGCCGATCATCCAGTAAGGTAGTGGATTCTGGGAATGAAGAGGGCTGCTTCTCAACCACAAGCATTATCCCTCCAGGAGAGACGCCAGAAGGTTTCAAGCCCTCACGCTACCTCATTTCGCGTAAGGTGACAATATGAATGAAGCTTGCAAGGCATTGCGACTTCAGTGGCATGACGCACAAAGTGTCGGTATGTACGAAAAACGTAAGTTGTGAAGAGCAAATAGAAGTAAACTTCCGGTTTCAATTCAGTGTTGTGAAATGACGGTAGGTGACATCTTTTGTTCGCTGACGGCGGCTTCTGGATAAACATTTTTAGTATTTGCAGTATGTGTGTGGAAAATATTATGAAATCTCTGCACTTAAACGCCCTGGGTGTATAGCACTGTAACGCCTGTAAAGAGTTGCACCAGATGTTCGGCTATCGCCTGTTGGCTGATGAGACAAAAAGTAAACTTCCTAACTACTTTGTGGATAAGCTAGGCATTTGTTTGCATAGTGAAGGGATGAAGGTTGTGTGAAAGCGTTGATTGCTGCAAGATGCCAGCGAAGATGCACTTTCCCCCACTTTTTCTAAACATTGTTAATGTCTCACTTCTAAAATTAAGTCATCTACCTCCCCTTTCTCTTTGCCGGGGGGCTGAGAGACCTGCAAGAGTGGAACTCATTGGTTATTGTTCAGCCGTCCGCTTTCATTTATATATATATATATATATATATATATATATATGTGTCACATTTGTCGCAGTTTCATCGTCTTCAGATCTCGTAGACACGGCTAATTCTCAAGCACAAATCCTTACTCTGCGAAGGCATCCCAAGTTGTAATTACTTCGGGGTTCACGTATTAAATCAAAAAATATATTTCATTCTCATACTGTTGATTCAGCAAGAGAGGAGCCAGTTTGCAGGTATCATAACATCAATGTGTATTGAAAAGTCTACAAGATTTTACGGGTCCTAAATGGTAAGGAAGAGAGGTCGTAAAACTCCCGTTAGCTATGAAACGGACGAGAAAATATCACGTTTGAGCATGTACGGGGTGTTAAAGTTTGGATAATAATAAACATCATCCTCATTTAATGGGTTAACCATGGCAGATACCAGTTTACAAGCATCATCAAATTGATAATTCTTGAAAGTTTACAAAATGGTACTTGGCATTAGATAATTCACATGTCAGGCTATTGATGGGCATAAACCTTCTACCTCCCATAGCGCACAGGTTCCAATATTAGGAACAATAAAGTGCAATGTCCGAAGTTTGCGTTATAAACAGCCGGCGTTGTCAGTCCATTTGCGTAGTGTGATGTCTAGTAATGTTACCATACATTCATTGGAAAGTCTTTCAGTTTTTAGCTTTGATAATTACAAAGGGCTCCCGAATGCAGTTTTGAGTACCGGTAAATTATCCACGGTTTGATGACCGAGATAAACGTCCAAGTCAATGCGTTTGCATTTCACCATGTTACGTTTATGGGTAATGTGGATTAACTCCACTGTGAATACTGGTTTCAGTGCATGGAAATAGAAGCTGAAACGGCCATTCGTCCAGATGGCAGTGGCTATACATGGGCATAGTATGCAGCCACAGAATGCTTTGAAAAGTAGTTCGACC